CTTTGAAGCGCCTCGCAGAGGTTTTGATTGGCATCTGGTTCCTCGGTCATCACCTCCACAGCCTCCCACTCCCCTGACCTGCTGGATTTCTTGATCGCCTCTACAACACTCTGCATGTACAGACCATCTTCAAAAGAGGCTGCCATAGAGACAGGTTTATGATCCCATGTCCGACGGTCTTCCTGGTCTTGGAAAGACTGCCGCAGTGCTTGCACCATGTACACCATTCCTTTTAGGTAAAGCAGGGGGATATCTTTAAACCCCTTATCCAAAAGGCCCTTGTTGACAGTCAGAGAGTCTGTAAACAGTAGTTCTTCTTGGAGCGCGGTGTTTTTCTGCCCATACAAGTCCGTCCCACGAGCTATGAGGCGACCGGTAGACCCAACAATCATGACTTCATGGATGAATGATCCAGGCATGTTGAAGTTGAGAGTCACAGTGCAACAGACACCCTCGCTCATTAGCATCTGGAAAAAGCAGAAGTCATCACTAGTGACATGGCGGATCCCACTTATAGCTGTGTTCTGCTTCACAAAAGTCTTGAGCAAACCGTGGACCTTCTCTGCTCTCCTGCTGATGAGATGAGTTAGGAGGTCGATAATGTAGGTTCCCATTGTATGCAGACCACCTCCTCCCATCAGCTCATCACAGATCCAGTTGTACTTGTGGCTGAGCAGGCTTCCCCCATAAACTCGTACGTCACAGATCATCACGTTGCCCACGTAGTGTTCTTCTATCAACTGCTTCATCTTCACAAAGGCAGGCAAGAAACGGAGAACATTGCCAACGATGCTCATCAGCTTGGGGTAATACCTGGCAGCTGTGACCATCCTGAAGGCATCCACAGAGGTAGCAGCTTTCTCACAGATCACGTTCTTCCCTATTCCTGCAGCACAAATGAAAAAAAAAAAAAAAAAAAAAATAGCACACACGAGCGAAACATGCTCAGATGCCCCCAAGGTTGTCAAGAAATGGTGTTTTTAAGAGTCAGGCTTTCCTGCTGCAATTTCAAAGGCAAAGGTCTGGGAACTAAAATAGGAATGCCAAGTGCAGCAAGACTCAAAGCTGCTTCCAAGATGCTCCGGTTGCAGAGCTGACAAACTCACAGAGAGAGGCTCCAAATAAAGAGAGGATTTTTACATCATGAAAGATAAATGGCCAAATGGCATCACATGGCATCAAAACAAGACACAATTTGCATGTTGTGGCTATAAAATTATTTGAATGCCTGTACAGCCAGAGGAAAAAAAATGTCATGTACCCTGCAGGGAAGAGGTGAGCGAAGGGGAGATTTGATTTTCACTTTGTATTTCAGCATTGCTATGAATTTATTATTTTAAATAGATTAATAGAAATGGGACATACAGAATACTTAGTGGCCTGTGTACAGAATACAAGAATTAGAAATAATGTTTTGGTTTTAAAAGCATCGGTAATTGGAAAACAGATGCACGTACAGCCTACTTGTACAATTAGACTGCAAAGGTCTGTGTGAGTTGCACAGATGAGAGCTGCACTTGCAAGCTGACCCACTGCATTTTCATTCCTACTCATGCACTTTACCTTGTGCTCAGCCTGAATCAACGTGGGCAGTCAATAATTCATTTTTTTAAAACTTTAAAGCAGAAATAAAGCAATACAAAAGAGCATCCCAGTGCAAGCTTCAAGCAAATTCCTCCATTTGGTGCTCTGCTGGTATTCCCTCTTCCTCCCCCATCTTCACCCTTTTCTCATGACATGGCTTTACTTTTCCATATACATCTGTTCTAATAAAATACTTATCTAAACATTTTTCAATGTAACAACCAGGGGTATACCTAGAAGCCTCCAGACGTTAACTGGTGATGTCAGACCTGAAGGTCAGTCATGTCATACCACAGCTTCTGCCTAAGAATTGCAGGAATCGCCGCACATGGTGGTAGGCACCTCTCTGAAAGCTTCTCCTTACCCAGGAGCAGACTGCGCTCCCTGCTCAGAACAGCTTTTAATCGGCTCCCCGATGAGAAGATACCAGCACAAGCGCTTCAGTCGGTCTCTCCCACGGGAGGGAAAGCCAGATCCCACACTGCCTCCTGCTCTCGGCACTCCACCTCCCGGCTGCGCTGAGCAAGCCTTTCAGGAACTGTCCAGGGGCCAGTGAGCTCCTGGGACACATCACCATGCCCAACTCAGCCAGGGGACAACCACAGCTAAAGAAAACTCTGAACCTATACTTCTAATAGACACAAGCAAAATCCAGTCAGAAAACGACAAGACTACAATTTTTAGTAGTCTCTTCCAAAGAAATCCCCTAAATAGATGTGAGTCAACAGAAGTTTTAATGAACAAAGGTCAAACTCCCTGGAGACACCCTGGCTGCCCATGGGTAACCCCCTATTTCAGGGACCATTTCCGACTCTCCGTCCCCCAACCCTGCTGCTGAGACGAGGCACAACGCTCTGTTCGATATTCTGCAGGGCTAGCTGAAGCGTCTTGAGATGCTTCAGCACCTGGTTTACCTGCCTTCTTGTTTAAATGGCACTTATCTCAAGCCAGGTTACAGTAAAATACAAGCAAAAAGAAAAAGTAAAAGGATCTTCACAGCATCCTAAGCAGACTGCAGTTCTCAAGGGTCGCAGAAAATAAAAGCGACTCTTGACCTGCGTATGCACGGGGTACAGCTCTGCAGTCAGCGCTCCGCTGCTGCCACTCTCCCCCTCGCACAACCCAACTGCCCCCCACCAGGTATTTGATGGTACACGAGCCGGCTCAGGCTACAAACCCAACATGGAAATGACTCACTCATCTTCGCTCTTTTTCTAGCAGGTTATTGCCCTGAGTTGGCTCTCCAAGGAGCCTGACAGTGTCCACACAAGAGGGGCTGGGTCCCTGCAGAAAGCGGAGAGGGCCGAGCCAAAAGAGACCACCCCTGCCGCCCAGGGACAGCCGTTTCACGCTGGGTGGTTTATCACCCCAGGCTGCCCTTGTCCTGCCACCCACCCACCCACCCTCATCCTTGCGTCAGCGCTGTGCTCTTTTTGCCAGCGTAGGCTGAGCCATTTGAGGAGCTAAAACTGACTGATGCCTTTTTTTGGGATGGCAGGCAGCGCAGCGCACTGACAGCTCGGCACAGCCCACCGAGCGCTGCCGGAGCGCCAGGACAGAGACCTGGGTACACTATAACATCTCTGGGATAATCCTGCGGTTGCCTTCAGTGGGACATCCCCCCAGCTGTCCCCAAGCTCACAGAGATGGCCGCGCAGCAAGGACAAGGGCTGAGCCGGAGATGGCTACGAGGTCTCTTACCAACGTAATGGCCATGCCTTCTGTGTTCTGAGGCAGAGCAACTTACAACCCTCATCTTGTTACTAGTATTTTGATAACGAATAACCTGAACTTTGTACCATATTGTTTTCTTAAATTACTGCTGCAAAATTTTCTGTTGAGGTCCTCACCTGCTAGAAGACATGAGAGCCACCACGCAGCTCTGGTGCTCCTCAGAGCCCTCTGTGAGCCAGTTCAGCTCACCAACTGAGCCCAGTTTAGAAAAGGAAGCTTCCTCTTTCCAAGCAGGCATGTTAAATCAGTTCACAGGTGGGTCTAAGCCCACAGAAGGGGTTGCATGCCTGCGAGGAAGGAGATGGGGCTGTGGAGTACGGCTTCCCCACCTCAGAGGCAGTGAGCAAGGACAGCAACAGCTCTGCTGCCTTCGATGAAGCTCATCACAGGCTGTCCTAACAACATGCAGGATCTTCTCTGTGCATACCTCAGAGCAAACCCTGTCTGCGGGGAGCACATCAGCTTCTGCAGACCATCGCTCCACCGAAGTCTCTTTCTAGTGTCCTAGGAGGAAAGAGTCAATCTTGCTCCCTAGAACTTACTTCATTTTGTCCTTATCCAGGAAACAGGCTGTCCGCCCTGCCTCACAGCAGCCAGTGCTGCTTCACATCCTGGAAGATGGACGTTTCTCTGCCAGCCCACCCTGCAGTTACCAGCTCCGAGCCCCCATGGGCTCTGTAAGCTGCAATGATGGTTCCTCAGGAGGTGCTTCTTGCTCTCAGTGCTGCGTTCGTTATTGCTGAATGTGAAACGACGTACCTAATGCAACCAGCTAAGTAGTGTGAAGGTATGTAGCTCTCCACCAGCTCTTACACTGCTCATGACTGTAATTAACCCTGAATGGCTTCAGGCTTCAACATCCCCCAGAAAGGCAGAGCCGAGCACTGCCCTGGAGAGGGAATAAGGAGAGGCCGTACAGCCCTACGTGCAGAGCATATGCACAGGCTGACTTACACACCCCCGGCCAAAGCACCCGACAAGCCATCAGATCCGCCCCTTGAACAAATTGCTACTCTGCTCCCAGCACAGAAGAAACCACCTCTCCACAAGTGCATTTCCAGGTAGGTGCACCCTTCACAACAGTCATTACTAGCTCTGCACACAGAAGAAACTACTCTTATTTATGGCTTTTTAACTGGTTGTTCTAGTAGGGGGGAAGGAAAAAGAGAATAAAAGGTCACCATTGCCAGGATTCCTTAAACAAACCATCTACTCCTGTGATGAGGGGCAAAAGCACCTGCTAGATTCCAAGAAATTTCAAACCCAATTCCTGATTTAGTAAACATTTAAAAAGAGGTCTCTTAACTCTCATTAATGTAATATAGCCAAATCATGGCTTCACTCAGTGAAATACCAGATTTAAAGTGTGTTCACATCCTACGGAAGCAATCAAAAAACAACAGGCGAGCCAAGACTTACTGGACAGCAGAATAAACTAGACTATTTTCTCCTAAAGGAATCTTATGTTTCTAGTTAGGTCCATACTGTCCATCAGCAATGAGGCCTCGGCTTCTCCTGCAGCTGCTTAGTCATGCCACATCCAAAACTTGCCATATGTGAAGTATTTTACAATCCTAGTTAATAAAATGCAAGCACGGAAAACTCGTTGCTTTCTCATGCTACCTGGTGGACGCTACCCAGAGCCATGACAGGAGCTGGGGATGGAAACAGGTCCCAGCCATTGCCATGACCCCCCAGCCCACTCCTTCCTCCTGGTAGGGAGGGTGCCAGCGTGGGCAGGAGGAAGGGGAAGGGACCCCGCAGCCTGCTGGGGCCCTGGGAGGGGGAACTTTCATGAAAAGATGGGAGAAGTGCAGCCCAAACCTTAGAGAGTCGGCTCTCTCCTCAATCAACGTGCATGTGAGCCGGGGTCTCCTCTCTGCCTCAAGCCGGGTGCATGCTGGCAGGCCACCAGAAGGACACCGAGACCACACCTGGCCCACTGCTCCATCAAGGAGGTCCTTCACATCCCAGGGGAGCCTGTTGACTAGCCTGGAATAGGAGGTAGCCCACCAGGGCTCCTGACGGCGAGAGGTCCTGCTGTCCTGTGCCCGGTGGGACAAGCAGGGGCACCCGTGCACAGAGGTGTCCCTGCAGCACAGTCAGGAGGGGACCGGCCGCGTGCCACGCACCCTGCCCAGGCAGTGTGAGGAGAGGACAGCCTTCTCACCATGGCAGCTACCACTTCACCTCTTTGGTTGTTTCTTTGCCTGGCTATCATAGCCGCAGCTGCCCATCCAACACTTTCCATGAACAGCTGAAGTCCACAGCCTTGCCCCTCTCTGTATGAGTTCTAATGTTGACTCAAACTACTATATCTATTTATCCCATGTAAATACGTCCACTGAACTGAAGCCCCAATTCTTTACTCCCCTGAATAACGTCAGACACCTGAGGTTGCAGCTAGGAAGATGTACAACTGGCCGCTGCTGAAGCACACCAGACCATTGCTTTGTCCACCATAAAAAGTTGGGAGTGTCTGAGGAGTCTTCCGAAATAACCGGCTGTTTCAGACATACTTGCTTTGGGAGCCTCCCAGTGAATGAACGCTTATTCCAAAACA